TAGCATGACCTGCGGAGCAGCATTAACCCTCCAAATCCCAGTCTTAAGTGAAATCCCAGCACATCATAAGCCTCGAAGCCATCATGCCCTAACCTCACTGCACTATTCCCTTCAGCCAAAAAAAGGACAAAAAGGGAAATGGTGGGGGTCACCTCGCTGATACCTCTATATCCGACCCCTAAGCATTGGGAAGGCAGCCTCAATAGACCTCAGAACCTGGGACAGGGACTCCCCAGGCCAGCCTGCTGAGAACAGAGGCTAGCAATCCCCAACTAGCTAACCGGCCCCAGCTCACCTGTAATCCTAGCTTTCTGGGAGGCTGAGATGGGAGGATAGCTGGAGCTCAGGGGTTCAACAGCAGCCTGAGCACAGTGAGACTCCATCTCTACCAAATAAAAAAGAAAAGCAAAAAAATACACAAAACAACTAATCCATCCCGGCTCTAGGGAAAGGTACAAATGTGGGTGGATATCTTCCCTAAGAAGCTGGGGCCTCCTGGCCCCCCAGTCAACATCAGCCCCAGAAAGCCTAAACGGTGAGTGACAGCCCGTTTCCTTAACTACTGCATTTCATAGTTCAGCCTCCCCTGGGTGCAGAACACCACTGTCCTCAAATGCCCAGGTGTAGTAGTTCTCTACTGGGAAGAGACGCTTTACAGGGAGCTTTCTTCCCCTGAATTCCCCAAATTCAGCAAGAACATGGAGGGCAGCCTCCCAGGCCTCTCTTCCCTCACTAAGGCTGCAGCTGGGGAGCTATTCCTCAGCAAAGCCTCAGAGCACAGTGGCTACAGGTATGAGCTGCGCTGCATCATCTGGCAGACTGCCAACGTGGACCTGGTGGATAGCAATTTAAGTGGAGAGAAGACGAGTGACATCTACATCAAAGGGTGAGGCAGAGGAGTCAGGCTCCAGCAGAGCCCCCGTGGTCCCAGGGCTTCATAATCCTGAGGGAACACCTCTCCAATATTACCTGTGCTTGGTGCCAGCTGGGCAGCCCTTCCCACAGGGCTCCAGCTCAGGGATGGGGACAATACACATGAACCCCAGGTGAAAGGACTCTGGCCCCAGGTGGTTATATGGCCTAGAGGACGACATGCAGAAGACAGATATCCACTACTACTCCCTGACTGGGGAGGGCAACTTCAACTGGCGATTCATCTTTACCATGGACTACCTGGCAGCGGAGTGTGTGTGCATCCGCAGCCAGAAGGTAACAGTCCTGGGGGTGTGAAGGGCCCCCAACATACAAACAACCTCAGGCTCCAGGAGCTCTTCCTCCCCCGTCCCCCAGAGGCCTGTAGGCTGTTCCAGAACATAGGAACATGTCCTCAGGCAGAAATTCTTTCTTGATAATCCATCACTCCTGGGTAGTGGGCTAATAAAGTGTCCAAGGGACACTCTTCTGCCATCCTCCAGGATTACATTTGGAGCCTGGACCCCACATCGATGAAGTTCCCAGCCCGGCTCATCATCCAGGTCTGGGACAATGACATCTTCTCTCCTGATGACTTCCTAGGTGAGGTCCTGGCACAGGGCTTATGACCACATGACAGGAAGCTCCTTTATTTTCTTTTTGAGACAGCATCTCACTCTGTCACCTGGGCAGAGTGCAGTGGCGTCATCATAGCTCACTGCAACCTCAAACTCCTGGGCTCAAGTGATCCTCCTGCCTCAGCCTTCTGAGCAGCTGAGACTTCAGGAGTGTACCACCACGCCCAGCTAATTTTTCTGTTTTTAGTAGAGATGGGGTCTCGCTCTTGCTCAGGCTGGTCTTGAACTCCTGGCTTCAAGTAATCCTCCCGCTTCAGCCTCCCAGAGAGCTAGGATTACAGGCATGAGCCACTGCACCCTGTCAGGAGCTCCTTCTTGCTGACAGCATTTCTCTGGGCTCAGGGGTCCTGGAGCTGGATTTGTCTGACATGCCCTTCCCAGCTCGGCACGCCTATCAATGCTCCCTCAAGATGATGGATGCTGACTCCAAGTGGCCTCCCTTCCTCCAATACAAGCACTTCTCCCTCTTTAAGAAGAAAACTGTAACTGGCTGGTGGCCTTGTCAAGTCCTTGATGATGGCAAATGGCGCTTGTCGGTAGGAGCTAGGAAAGGTGCCTATTGAATAGGACTGCTATGCCACATAACCTGGCTTTAACAGACTTTTGGGAACCTTAACTAAATCCCTTTTCCTTTCTGGAGCCCGGGATGAGGTCCTAAACCTACCTTACTCCTGCTATCTGAACTCAGCCTCCCACAACCTGTGGTGTTCCTAGGGCAAAGTGAAGATGACTCTTGAGATACTGTCCGAGAGGGAAGCCTTAATCAGGCCAGCTGGGCGAGGCCAGTCGGAACCCAACCAATACCCTACACTTCATCCTCCCCTGTAAGGGTCCTATGGGGCAAAGGCACCCAATCTTTCTCTTCTCAAGTTTGTATGGGGTGGTGAACAGTGGGCCTACACGTGGAGAGGGGTAATTACTTCCTAACACCACAGCTCTGTGCTCAGTTACTACCAGGAGAGAAGACTTTAGGGTGGGGTTGGGCATAAGCAGAAGTTGCTTTTTTGTTTATAAAGACAGCTCTTAGCTCAGGATTACTTGACCCAAAGGTTTCCTCTGCCCTCTATTCTCTGACAATTCTCCTGTTCACTGACAGACGCCCTGAAAGTGGTTTGAAGTGGTTTCGATCACCTGTTCAAAACCTCTGCCGTGGTCTCTGGAAACGCTACCGCTTCAAAATCCTAGCCTCACTGGTCATACTGATTACAGCACTTCTGCTGTTCAACTTTTTATATTCAGCTCCGGTGAGTGGCAACCATAGCGACGGGGACAAAGGCACTGGCTGGTCTGCAGATGACTCTGAGGAGAGTGCCTTCACATTGCTACCTCAGGCTAACTGTTATCTGTTCTCTCTAGCACTATTTGGCCATGCACTGGATCAAACCCGAACTTCGGCTATCTCCTCCCATTAAAGTAGTCAACATCATCACTCCACTAAACACCAGCAATGCCAACTCTTCCATCCTCCAAACCCCAGATTTGAACCCAAAGCCTACGATAGACCGTGGGTTCAAACTCTCCACGTACCCAAGAATCACCTGAGTGATATTTTCCAGCCCCATAAGACTAATTCTCCCATGTTTGCCTGGCTTTTCTCCCCTGGCTACCAGCAGCCCTGCCCTTGAGCTTCCCACCAGTTCCTTGTTTCTGTCTTTGGGACACATGCAAGGAGCCAGGGATATTCTGGCTATTGTGTTCAGAAACCACTTCCAACAACAACAGAGCTATAATTTTCCACTGAAATAAACAAGTTTTATAACAGAGAGCCACCTTATAATTTGGGGGGGTTGAAGAAACCATGAAAGGCTGAAAACGACAGCCCTTCAGACAAGACTCACAGGGACCAGGAGTGATATCATCCTTATACACCACCTCTAGTCCACAGGGTCTCTTCAGTAAGAGGTTTTGAAGTCAGAGGACAATGGAGGGAATGGTGACTGTGAGGAAAGAAGTGGCCCTCATGGGTAAGCAGCACACCAAGGCTCCTGCTCTCCCCTCTACTATGTGTGCAAAGAAGAGCCACACCAGCCGGGTGCAGTGGCTCACACCTGTAATCCCAACACTTTGGGAGGCCAAGACAGGAGGACCACTTGAGGCAGGAGTTTTAGACCAAACTGGCCAATACAGTGAGACCCTCATCTCTACAAAAAACAAAAAAAAAGTAGCTGAATGTGGTGGTTCATGCCTATAATCTTAGTTACTCAAGAGACTGAGGCAGGAGGATCACTTGAGCCCAGGAGCTCAAGGCTGCAGTGAGCTAACCCATCACTGTACCCCAGTATGGACGACAAAACAAGATCCTGTTTCTAAGGAAAAAAAAAAAGAAAAGCCATACCATGGACCAGGCATCTCCCTCCTGTAGCACACACCTGGGATTACAGCGCCCAGGACAATATTCAGCCCATTCACAACAGGAAACATTTGTTTTTAGAACAAAAATCAAGAACCAAGGCAGGGTACCCAATGCTAGGTAAGATGTGATTTTTGTATCATACATTACTCTAAGGGCAGCTGCAGGGTGGGTGAGGACTGCATCCCATGTCTTCCCTGCCCTCTTTAAGGTGGCCAGGCGCAGTGGCTCATGTCTGTAATCCTAGCACTTTTGGGAGGCTGAAGCAGAATGATCTCTTGAGGATCGGAGTTAGAGACCAGCCTGATAAAAAGCAAGACCCTGTTTCTACAGAAAAAAAAAAAAATTACAAAAATTAGCTGGTCAGAGGGGGGGCAAGGGCAATATACCTAACCTTAACATTTGTAGCCCCATAATATGCTGAAATAAAACAAACAAAAATTAGCTGGTCATAGTGGCACATGCCTGTAGTCCCAACTACTCAGGAGGCTGAGGTGGGAGGACCACTTGAGCCCAGGAGTTTGAGGTTGCAGTGAGCTACGATGAGGCCACTGCACTCTAGGCCCAGGTGACAGAGTGAGACATAGTCTCAAAAAAAAAGAAGCCTCAAAATACTCATGAGCTGGAATCACAGAAACCCCACAGGTTCAATCTCTCACCCCTCATCTGAGACCTCCTCCTGCACCGCTGCTGCCTAGGACATCTCAAGACCCTACCTAGGTCCTCTCATCACACATGTCCATACAATCTCACCTTGAACTCAAAAAGACAAAACTACCATTTTCTTTTTCAGTTCTCCCTGGTCCCAAGGCCAAGCTCTAGGTCATTTTTGTCCTTTGGCACCCTGGAGTTACTCTGCTATTATGACAGGGTTAGGAGGTGTTAGAAGAAGAGCACTACAGCCTGTGTTACTTAATTGAGGCCCAAAGAGACAAAGCCCTGTGCCCAGCTACAGTGACCCCCATTTCCTTCTGGGCTAGCTGGTGGCTTTCCATCCCTGGAGAAGACAGAGCAAGGGATGATGGGCTTGAGGCTGAGGAAAAAAGGCCGGGAACTTCTCCCAAACCCACTCCTGGAAGGAAGGACACTGAGTCAAAAGCTCATGTTTGGTTCCATCAGCCATTTTAAGAATTTCCTTTAGGCCACAGAGGTCCATAGGAGAGCACAGAGTTCTAGGCCCTCCTGGAGACTCTGGCCTGTAACCAATTTAATCACAGGGCAGACAGGTGAGCAGCATATAACCCCTTGTCAGATAAGGCAGTGGAATAAGGGTTGACACATAGAAGACAGCATTCAGGCTGTTCAAAGACAACAAACTCTTCTAGGCACAGATGATAAGAGTCTAATGCTCCCAGACTTGGAACATGAAAACAGCAACTATTTCTTACTCATTAAGAAAAAGATGCCAAATGTCCTCTTTGGGCAGTATTCAAGCTCAAGATATAAGAAGAAAGCTTCCTTATACTTTCAACATTCAAAATGGGATTCCAAAAATCATAAAACATGCAGCTAAGCAGGCTGTATTGAGTCCAGAAACATTTCCATCTGGTCAGACCACATGATAAATGTTGCTTTCAGTATCTAACCTGGAACTGGCCAGTTTCACAGTTAATCCCATAGCATCCATGATGTCTTCCAAGCTTCTCTAGACTTGCACACAAACTTTCAGCCAAACTTGATGGAAGGCCTGAAACGATTTGATTAGGCAGGCCACAGACACACTAACAGACCTAAGACCCAGCCTAGAGAATGAAAGCTGGAGTAGTGAGCCAAAGTAGAAAGCCCTCTCCCTAGGGCCACCAAATGAAGGCCAGTGAAACTATTTGTTGTGCAATCCCAGGCCCCAACAGAAAGGCATCCAAATGTCTTCTCCAGCTCAGGTTGCACACAAGACAATGAATGGAGAGAATAAAGTGAGACAGGGAAGAAGTTTTCATCCTGATTTCCAAAGAAAGCCCCTCAGGGTAAAAAGCAAAAACCAGTGAATGGATGGCTGCAAGGTATGAGGCATTATCTGTTTTCTATTCTTTGTGGATTTAAAAATGAAGCAGAAGGGTCCTCTGAGTCCAAGAACAAGGCAGCCTGGGCCATGATATTCTGCTCTGTGATTTTGGTATCACAAGTGTATAAATTCTCTCCATGCTTTTTTGCTCCCACGTGGAAAGACAGCAGGGAAAGGCACGACACAGTAGCATAGCCCTGGGGTAGGTAGCTTCCCAGACCAGAGTTAGATGTCCCCATGGATGAGCACGTGACTTCAGGGACCCTGCATTCAAAGCTCCAGTGACAGTCTATGACCAGCTACTGGAGACTAGAGAAGACCCATCAGGCTGTGTGCTCAGGCCAGCACCTGTTTCTTCCACATCTCATGGGTGACAGTCTCGCAGGTGGTGGCAGCATGAGAGCTCAGTAGAAGCGCTTTCGGCTCTGTTCCTGCCATTTGTTGTAAAGTATGATACCAATGACAATGGCGAATACAGAAAACACCAGAGAGAAAAAGACGATGAGAAAGAGGGCCAGGCCACTCAGGGGCGGCAGTGGAGCTGTCACTGAGGAAGCAAGAGAGAAGCAAGTCAGAAACGGAACCCACCCAGTAGGGGAGGACCAACTTACAGACTGTCCAGCCCTCAATTTCTTTTTTGAGACAGAGTCTTGCTTTGTTGCCCAGGCTAGAGTGAGTGCCGTGGTGTCAGCCTAGCTCACAGCAACCTCAAACTCCTGGGCTCAAGCAATCCTACTGCTTCAGCCTCCCAAGTAGCTAGGACTACAGGCATGCGCCACCATGCCCGGCTAACAGCCCTCAGTTTCTGACACCTGTTCCTGAGGAACCAGCTTACACTTCCCTTTTCTAATTTAAAAATGAAGCAGCCTTCCTGCTGCTCATCTGTAAAGTGAAGACAAGTAAAAGGTGGGTGCAAGTGCTCTATATTCTTCAGAGAAAGAACATAGAACAGGACTGCTCTGCATGCTCTGCCCTGCATGCAAGTCACCTCAGACCCCATGCAGCACTGCAACCTCCTCCCCAGCCATGCAACCACTTCCCAGGATCCCCTGTGCTTACTCTCAGGCAACTTCATGTTGTCCACCGAGGGTAAGAACACATCTCGATGCAGCTTCTCCTCTTCTGGGGTTCTTTCTACTGTCAGCTCAAACAACTTTAGGGAAATGACATCATGATTATCTAGCAAAAAGAGGAACAAGGATTACTTGAGCCACTTCAAATAAAGGTACATATTTTGGAGTCAGTATCTTAGTTCAAGCCCTGATCCACAGCTAACTAGAAGTGGCCTTGAAAAAATAATTGAAATCTCTCCATTTTCTCAACTAAAAGTATAGAGATTGCCTGAGCCCAGGAGTTCACAACCAGCCTGGGCAACACAGTAAGACCTCATCTCTAAATACTGCAAAACGGCAGAATGAAACTTTTGTCAGATGAAGGAAACATTCTATATCTTGATTATGATGGTGGCTACACAGGTGTAAATGTCCGTCAAAAACTCTTAACTGGCTAGCCATGGTGGCTCATGCCTGTAATTCAGCACTTTGGGAAGCTAAGGTGGGAGGATCACCTGACAACAGGAGTTCAAGATTAGCCTGGACAACATAGTGAGACACTGCCTCTAGAAGCCCAGGAGTATGAGGTTGCAGTGAGCTATGATCATACTACTGTACTCAAGCCTGGGCAGCAGAGCAAGACCCTGTCTTTTAAGAAAAACAAAACAAAAGAACTCTTCAAACTGTATTCTGTTGTATAAAAAGTATAACACAATAGAGTTGATTTTTTTAAAATTTAGCTGCTAGGGTTTAAAAATTCAGATTTCTAGCTTCTCTTAAAAAACTGGACGATTTGGCTTCATGGAGCCCATATTTCCTTTTGGCAACAATGGCTAGAGCTGAGTAACTGCTACCTATTAGGATAGATAGCTGCCTGTCCATTTTGCCACAAGAAAATTCTGTTTCAAACTAACTTTATCCATAATAAATTAATCAAAAGAACCAAAAGTTTAGTTCCTTATCTTTTCCCAAAAGACATTATGATTGGAGCTAAAGTCCATGGAGAGAATAATGCAAAAAGCTATGAATCAGGCGTGAGTAGAAAGAGATGCCAGAGGATTAAAAAATAAAAAAAAATAAAAGTGATAAAGGAAAAAAATAAAAGAGATACCAGAGGAGACAGAAAAGTAAAAGAACTAGGTACTGTTAATGGCATGTAAGTCAAGAAAGCAAGAGTTTCAGAGCAATCAGTTAAATGAGCTGAAGAGAGGACAAACAGTGAGGACGAGAACAGAGCACTGTATATGGCAAGAAAACAGAAGTAACTTTCATGAGAATAGTGTTAATAGCAAGGTAGAGACACAGGTCTAAGTGCAGCATGGTAAGGAGGTGGATGGTTAGGAACAAAAGCACCTGTACATATGACACATTCAAAAGTCTGGGAAAAAGGAGAGTCTGGGGGTCAGTTACAAGAGGGACAGCAGAGTCAAGGAAAAGCTTTGCCAAGAGAGGGGAACTGGACATATTAGCAGGTGGAAGGAGAGGAGTCTAATAACAGAAAAGGGCTTGCAACAAAGGCTGGAAGAGCTGGCTTGATGAAGGGGCAAACACTGCTTTCTGTTAGCACCAACAGCTCCTAGAGACAAGTGTACTAGGAAAGCCCAGGCCTGGGTTTCTTAAGAGGTTCGGATGTAAGAATGCATCTCTTCCCTGAGCTCTGCTCTCCCCTCTGAGAGGCTTGCCAAGGCCTGGATATTGAGACGAGGCCTCAGTCAGGGAAAAACAAAGTGTGCACGTGGTGGCAGTACCCGAGAGATCCCCAGTGATGGAGGAGGTGCCGAAGTAGTAGCCACGGGGCAGACGGACCCCAGGCACCTCAATGCAGTCCCTCCACTCATGCTTGCCATCAATGTCCATCATAATCTAGAATAAAAAGAAGGGGTAAATCAGGTCAGGCAACGGGAACAGGAGCGGGACAGCCCATACTACTATCTGGTCCAGGACAGGACTCACCGTTAAATGCCTCTTGACATAGCGAATCACAAGGAAGGTGTCGTAATGGAGATTGCGGACAATGGCTGTACAGCCCCCCAACTCTGTAGGCCGTCCATCCCGCTCGTGATCATAGCTGAGGGAGCCGTTGTTCACCATGGCTGAGACGTAGGGGAATACTCGCTGAGAAGCAGGGAGGGAAAAGCAGAGACAATAAGGAAGAGCTCTTAGGAACACCTGTGCAAACAGCAAGAGGAATTTTACACATACAAGCTGAGCCCCTTACAGCAGATCGGCAACCACTCTGCCTCATCACTGGCAGCCCATGAGAACCCACATTCAGATGGTCACTCAGGGGATCTTGGCCCAGGGAGTGACTGAACTCCATACGTGCCTTCGGTAATTCTCCTTGCTCCCAATCTGGGATGGGCCCACAATGGCCCCAGTAAGATGCTGGAGTCTGACTTGAATCCTCCCAGAAATCACCTTTTGGCACTTATACACTGCCCAGTACTAGGTGTTTGCTTTTTATGTATATATATTATACCTGTCTCCCCATTTGCCAGGTAAGGTTCTTGAAGAAAAAAATCATTTATTACACATCTTTGCACGTCTCCATTTAGCCCTATCTCTTCCTCTCCAGGGTGAGTGTTTTGTACACAGCAGGTATTCTGAAAATACCTGTTTGAGCAGGGCAATCTTTCCATTCACAATAGTTCCTTTCAAATTCTAAAACCCTATAAGCATATGATGCTACATGGATTAGGATTTAGAGAGAATACTGAGCAGGGCTGCTGGACGTGCTTCTCTAGTCAGTGACTGTTCTTAGCCAAAACACTTTCCAGCCCACTTAAACCTCCTCCACACATAACTTCTCCCAAAAATACTAATAAGAGGGCATGGTTCTATCCCCACAGAGAGAAAACTGAAAGATTTCCCATAACTCACTCATTTTCCCATCTACTTCAGAGGCTCCCTGTCTCCAATAGAGTTGTAGGAGCAAATTCTTCCTTAGAAATGAGGAACTAACCATTCCAGAATGAGCCCAGTGCCAAGGCAGTGCAGAGAGGCAGGGTGATGAAAGGAGAAGGTAACATGAGGCATGCCACTCCTTTGGTGAGCTCCCCACTGTCCTAGGCAGTCAACATGCAAGGTGGAAATGCAGTCAAGACCAGAGACTAGGGAAACCTGAGACAGCAACCACATGGACTTGAAACAGCAACAAATGTTGGATGGACACATGGAAATAAGGGATGGCCATGGTAGGTCAAGAACTGAATACCTGAACTCCTGGAGAATATCGCCTCTTCTGGGCCTGAGAGGGTCCAGCAGGTTATTATAAAAATAAGAGAGGGCATAGAAGACAGGAGACCAAGTCAGAAAGAAGAGCTACGACCCAGCTGTGATAGATGAACAAACCAACCTAAATCCCCAAAAAGAATGTCAAGGTCCATTAACGGCATTCAGCAAGCCCTTGAACCCCTCAAAATTATTTGCAGAACCATATACACAGGTACTTGTAAATTTTTCTGAGGGGGGGGGTCTATTACTGTTATCATATTCTCAAAGGGGTCCCCTAGGAAAAATGTTCTAATCCATGGAGGGTCCTGAAGCTTTCTGAAGGAGCTTTATAAAACACACAGTGTTACACTGTCCTGGCAGCCCCACTTATGACTCTGGAAGTCAGAAGCTTAGGCCACAGGTTTGTACCCAGACTACTGTATTTCTATAGCAAAGGGAGAGACAGGAGAGACAAATATGGCTAAATTCTTCCAAATTCAAGATGTCTTTTACTATACTCAGGATCTCAAGATATAGCTCTTGCCCAGAAGACAAAATCTACCACTTGAGAGACTATAAAATTAATCCAAAGGCATCATTTACCCTCTTAATTGAGCCTTATGGGCATATATTTTCAAATAATTATTGTCATCCTACCCTATGGCACATGGGCAAGGAAGAAGTTCCGTGGAAGCATTGCAGCATGACAGACTTAAAAAATCTTCAGGCTTAAAGGTAATAGCTTTGCTCCAGAAAACAGATTCTACACAAGCTCAGCTCAGCCCTGCCCTATGAGAAGGGTAGGCAACACTGCAGAGCTCAAAGCACTCATTCTTATAATACTCAGTGAGCACCTATTACAATCCAGGCACTGTTCCAGATGCTAAGGGTCCCATGGGCAACAAGACAGGTATCTGCTCTCATGGAGCTGACATTAGAGTGTAAGATAAAAACAATAGACAAGTAAATAAAATTATTTGATAGTGATAAATGCTATGATGAAAATAAAATAGGTAATACAACAGAGACTGATGAGGGAACCTCTCTCTGGGGAGGCACATCTGAGCTGAGACCCAAGGAATTAGAGGGATTCTGCCAAAAGATCTGAGGGCATAAGAAGCACAAGGTTGGCATATTCAAGGAACTAGAAGACAGATTTGTCTGAAACACAGCTACTGAGGAAGAGGCTGATATAAGACAAAGCAACAGCCACAGCACACAGAGCCTCATGAGCCATAGTAAGGAGTCCTGGGGTGGGCCTCAGAGCAGCTCCCCAGTCATTCTTCTCTGATGCCACCGGCAGAATTTGCACAGCACACAGTAAGATAGGAAATCAATCAGTGGATGATCAAATTGCCACAAAATTACTCTTCTACAACTATTCTATTACTTAGAACAAGGAATTGTGAGCATGTTAACAAACATTGAGAGAATGCTCATAATTTCAGAGATAATTAAAGAAAAGAAGGTCTTAAAAATGCCCTGGGGGGCTCTGATGACTCCAAGGCTTGCTTCATTTATCACTTCCAATAACCCTGATGGAAGTTTAGGAGCAACTTTAAAGAGTGTGTCTAGGACAGCAATCCTTAGGCTGATGGTGCCTCACTTTTTCCAAGGCTGGTGTGGTCTCAGGATCAGCTGGGGAAGCTTTTCAACTGCACATATCTATGGGTCCCTCAGTCAAAGAATCTCATTCAGTAGGTCTAAATGGGGGCACAGAATTATGTGTTTTTCAAAAGCACCACAAAAGACTGGAACGTGCATCCAAAGGTAAGAAGCACTGCACTAGACACATAGCCCCACGGCTTTGCAGCTGGAATCTGTTTATTTAATCAACGCATGACTTGGCCTTCAACTTTTAAGCTCACATCAGTAGTAACTCTTTAAATGCCATCTTATTTTCTATTCTTAGTCAGGAGTTATTAAAATGTTTCTTGGATAGCCACTGATTTCACACAGCAATACATTTTTCCCCCCTGGAAAGCAGCAGCCTATAGCTGGAATCAAAGGTTGAAGAATCACACTGATTCAGGCAAGGCGGGTAGTTTCATTCCTAATTTAAGAGTCACCAGAAAGGAGGAACTACCACCTACTGTCCTAATGATTATTGTTTGTAGGGTGGAGAAATGTTTTCAACTTTTTGCACTACATGTCCACTTTATTTTTTTTTTATTTTTATTTTTTTTTTTGTTGCAAAGTTAAGGTATTAAACATGTCCACTTTAAAAAACAAATTATTTTAAAAAGATCCTCTACTCGAGCGGGCAGTAGGGGTATGGGCAATATACCTAACCTTAACATTTATACCCCCATAATATGCTGAAATAAAAAAAATTAAAAAAATTAAAAAAATAAAAAGATCCTCTACATGATAATTGTACTTTCAGCATATCTTGACTGAAAATATACCCATGAGCTTGTGGATTTATAGATTCTATGCCAAAATTCCACATGGCCTCTGTAATCAGGGAGACGTGGGTTTCATCTGCAGTTATGTCACTCATAGTTGTATAACCTTGGGTAGGTTACATCACCTCTTTGAGATTCTATTTCCTCACTGTAAACAGGGAAAATAACACACAGCTCAAAGAGTTAATTATGAAGATGAAATGAAATATGTAAAACATTTAGTGCAGTGTCTGGCATTTGGGAGGGAGTCAATAAATGGTCAATGACTAAATTAATCAATTTCTAGATACAGACATGTTCACATGTACTCATATAAACACAGAGCCAAACATATATCTCTTAGAGCAGTAATTCCCAGACCACTGGCTGTCAGGGACCAGTAAAATTTTCAAAAGCATTTTAGGGATAATAAATTTGGTTTCATTTTATTGCCCACTACATACATTTAAATACAATAATGACAGGCCGGGTGTGGTGGCTCATGCCTGTAATTCTAGCACTCTGGGAGGCTGAGGTGGGCGGATTGCTCCAGGTCAGGAGTTCAAAACCAGCCTGAGCAAGAGCAAGACCCCGTCTCTACTAAAAATAGAAAGAAATTAATTGACCAACTAAATATATACATACAAAAAATTAGCTGGGCATGGCAGCACATGCCTGTAGTCCCAGCTACTCAGGAGGCTGAGGCAGTAGGATCGCTTGAGCCCAGGAGATTGAGGTTGCTGTGAGCTAGGCTGATGCCACAGCACTCACTCTAGCCTGGGCAACAAAGTGAGACTCTGTTTCTAAAAAAAAAAAAAAAATACAATAATGACAAAGCAAACAATAATGACAAATGTCTAAAAAGGACATTTTAACACCAAAAAATGAGAATTATGTATGTAATTTCATAATAAAGCAACTGAATACATCTAACACTTATGAAAAATCACTTCACTGTTCTGATTCTTGGACCAGTGAAAACCTTGTTACCAACCAATACAAGTTTATAAACTAGAATCTGGGAACAGTGTTTTCCAACCCAAACCATTCTATAATCTAGTAAACTGACCATTTGTTTACTGGAACCAGTAAAGTGTGAAGAAAAGAAGGGTAGGAGAGGAGAAGAAGAAAGAATGGAGCCACAACAGCTACTGCTGAGATGTTTTGCTACTGCAAAATGTCCCTTAGGAGTCCATTGAATGGTGTGAGTAACAGCTAGCATTTACTGAGAGATTACTCTGTGCCAGGCACCATACTCAGTAATGGACACATATGTATTCATTTAATTCTGAAACCCTATCAGGTAGTATTAGTACCCTATTTCACAGGTAAGAAAACTAATCTAAAATAACACAGGTATTAATCAGTGAAATTAGATTTGGAACCAAGCAGTCTGGCTCCAAAGCCCTGACTCAATTACTAAACTACATTGCTCTCAATATCTATCAATATGGAAAAATGTTTCATATGTATTTATAAGGTATCTAAACAACATGTACCTTGAAACACAAAGAAATACTGCAGAATAGTTCCAGATTAAGGGAGAGAAGAGACATAATTGAATCCAACAAAGGATCTGGGATTTTCTCTCCTTATAAAAGACATATTGGGACAACTGGCAAAATATGAATAAGGACTATAGATAACAGTATTATTATCAATGGTAAGTTCTTTACTTTTATCAAAGTGCTGTGGCTACGTAAGGGAACTTATTTTCAGAAAAAGCACACTTTGTTAAGTATTTAAGATTAAGGGGGCATCATGAAGGCAATTCATTCTTAGCTAGTTGAGAAAAAAACAGACACATGTATGAGCACATACATAGACACATACACACATAAGTAAACACAGATATACACACATACAAGTAAAATAAAAGGACAACACAAATGTAAAACATTAACATTGTGGGGAATCTGGGTGAAGAATATCTCAGAATTCTTTGTCATATTCTTATAACTTATCTATAATTCTAAAACTATTATCAAAATTTTAAAAAGATTAATCTGAATCTAGTAGTCACCATACTCTCAATTTTTCTACATCTGAAAATTTTAAAATTACAAAAAGCTTTTAGGCTGGGTGCGGTGGCTCACACCTGTAATCCTAGCACTCTGGGAGGCTGAAGCGGGCAGATTGCTCCAGGTCAGGAGTTCGAAACCAGCCTGAGCAAGAGTGAGACCCTGTCTCTACTATAAATAGAAAGAAATTAATTGGCCAACTAATATATATAGAAAAAATTAGTTGGGCATGGTGGCTCATGCCTGTAGTCCCCAGCTACTCGGGAAGCTGAGGCAGCAGGATCGCTTGAGCCCAGGAGTTTGAGGTTGCTGTGAGCTAGGCCGATGCCATGGCACTCTAGCCCAGGCAACAAAGCGAGACTCTGTCTCAAAAAAAAAAAAAAAAACTCACACTTTTAAAAAACAGTATGTAAAATATGATATGATATTTTGTTTACAAAAAAGGTATACAGTTTTGTCAGGCTTTTCTGCTTTTTATATCATTAGCTTTTACATTAAAAAAATGCCTTCTACTAGATGCTATTCAATGTGAAGCATCTCTCACCACACCTCCCCTTCACCTTCCCTTGGATCACTGGTGGAATACGCTCACTGCCACTTCCACAGATTTGTCCCTTTTCAGATTTGCATAACTTTATAAGCTGCTGGTCCTACAGTAATCTTCATCTAACCCTTTATGCAGAAATCTGAATAAAGAGGACACAGGTTAACTCAGCAATCCACATCCTATTTAGAGTGGATAACAAAATCAGTGAGATTCTTACCATGTCACTGGACAACCTGAGAAGGCCTTCATTCCATAAGCCCCCAGGCTACCACTAACCTATGCTAGTGACTCTGTCCCCAGGTCTCACAGCTCCTCAACTGGAGGACGTGGAAAAATGGCACTTCCAGGCCCAAAAGACCTTCATATACTTGAACATCATCACAATCTCTTAAGAAACTCATGGAATGATTTTAAACTCATTTATCTTAGTTTGTGACCCCACTAGAACAAACCCAAATCAATCTGAAGACTTCAATAAAGAGTACTCCAAAATCAGGAGACTTTGAATTTGAGGTGTGCCTCAAACATTAATGTTCATAACCCACCCACCCAGATTATAGATATATTTAATATCTAAATATTATATATATTTAGGATATAGTCTAATACATAAATCTTAATTTCACTGCTGTTCATTATTTTAATAGTATGTGAATACTTCTTGTTAATGAAAAGAGCTATCAATTCTATAGAACAGGGGAACTTTACAGTTCTACTTTGGGGAGTCCACAAACCTAAAATTATACATGAGCATCTATGTGTATGTGCATCTTTCTGTGGGGCCAACATTCATCAGATTCTTAAGAGTCAAAACCCAAAGAAAGGTAAAGAACTAACCCAGAGCCAAGTGTCTTCTGGAGCACGGGCTCTTGCTTTCTTCTTCCTCTCTCCCTCTTTCACTGTCTCAGAAAAGAAACATTATTTTCTCCTTGCTGTCAGCAAATATCAGCATACATACATTTCCATACTTCCCTCAAAAATCAGTTCTCCCCAGTCAAGCTCATCCTCAATGCCAAATCACATCTAAAGAGCATGCAAATCCTCCCTAGGCCTAGATTCCAAAAAAGTCTCTCTTGGAAAATACTGTTCCATGGCCGGGCGCGGTGGCTCATGCCTGTAATACTAGCACTCTGGGAGGCCGAGGCGGGCGGATTGCTCGAGATCAGGAGTTCAAAACCAGCCTGAGAAAGAGCAATACCCCATCTCTACTATAAATAGAAAGAAATTAATTGGCCAACTAATATATATATAGAAAAAATTAGCCTGGTATGGTGGCACATGCCTGTAGTCCCAGCTACTCCGGATTGCTTGAGCCCAGGAGTTTGAGGTTGCTGTGAGCTAGGCTGATGCCACGGCATTCACTCTAGCCTGGGCAACAAAGCAAGACTCTGTCTCAAAAAAAGAAAAGAAAAAGAAAACACTGTTCCACCTAGGACTTAAAAAAAAACCCTAACTGAGAACTTAAGAACTCATGGAGTTCCTTTAATAATGTAAAGATGCTCCTACGAATAGTAAAGAGGCCATATTGAGATCAGTGTTTTCATCAAGATAAAAACTTGAGGGAATGTGTTTTTAAACTGAATGCCACATAATCCATCTAGAACGTGTAAAAAAATTAGCAAAGAATAAAAATTAAAAAATTTTTAAATTAAATAAACCTGGATGGCACTGTATTATCAATTTCCTTCCAGTTTAAAGGAAGAAAAACAATTATCACAGAAAAAAAAATATATATATATACACACACATATATATGGGGACCCTGGGGCAGTGGCGTGTACCCATAGTCCCAGCTACTTGGGAGGCTGAGGTGGGAGGACTACTTGAGCCCAGGAGTTTGAGCCTAGCCTAGGCAACACAGCAAGACGCCAGCTCTAAAAATATAAGTTAATTAATTAAAATATGAGGAGTGCCTCAAACAAAACTTCCAAGTTGGCTTGATCTAAGAAGACCAGAGAGCTCTTTTCTCTACTCTCTAACTATTTCTGCCTCCCCAGAGTGAGGCCTACATGTCTCACAGAGAAGAATGAAGGCTAAACTTGCCAAGTATTGCATGTCAACACTCGCATTCCAAGAAGGCCTCTTGTCATTATAGTCAAGACATTTACACTCCAAGATTGCTGCTGAGTTCCCTGCAACTTTTCACCAACATCTGGGTTCAAATGCAAAACTGATGATCATAAGCTGATGACTTCATAGTGCCAAGAAAAGATGACCAGGTCATCTTAATTAACATTTAAAAAATAACAGCAATACTAAGATATAATTCAAATACCACAAAACTTACCTGAAGCATATAATCCAACAGCTTTTAGTATATTCAGAGTTACGATTATGATTACCACAATCAATTTTAGAACATTTTCATAACCCCCAAAAAATACCCCATGCCCACTAGTAGTCACTCTCCCCATCTCCACACAATGCCTCAGCCCTAGACAACCACTAATCTACTGTCTTTATAGATTTGCCTACTCTGGACATTTCATATGCATGGGATCATACCATTTGTAGCTCTTTTGTGACTCACTTCTTTCACTTAGCAAGTTTTCAATGGTCATCCCTGTTGGAACATACATCAATACTTCCTTTCTTTTATTGTTCAGGTTCCATTGTGTAAATATACCACATTTTGTTTACCCATTTATCAATTGATGGACATTTGGGTTATATCCATTTTTTGCCTATCATGAATAATGCTTCTATGAACATCCATATAACACTTTTTGTGTAGATATGTGGTTTATGCCGATACATGTTTTCATTTCTCTTGGGTATATACCTACGAGTGGAATTGTTAGATCATATAAACTGTTTAACCATTTCAAGAAATGTCAAACTGATTTCCACAGCCACTGCACATTTTACATTCTCACCAGCAGAGTATGAGGGTTCCAATTACTCTACATCCTTACCAAAACTTATCTTTTTTATTTTAGCCATCCTAGTGGGTGTGCAGTGGTATCTCATTGTGGTTTTGATTTACATTTCCCTTATGGCTAACAATGGTGAGTATCTTTTCTTTTTTTTGTTTGTTTGTTTGTTTTGAGACAGAGTCTCACTTTGTTGCCCAGGCTAGAGTGAGTGCCGTGGCGTCAGCCTAGCTCACAGCAACCTCAAACTCCTGGGCTCAAGCGATCCTTCTGCCTCAGCCTCCCAAGTAGCTGGGACTACAGGCATGCGCCACCATGCCCGGCTAATTTTTTCTATATATATTAGTTGGCCAATTAATTTCTTTTTATTTATAGTAGAGATGGGGTATCGCTCTTGCTCAGGCTGGTTTTGAACTTCTGACCTGGAGCAATCCACCTGCCTCGGCCTTCCAGAGTGTTAGGATTACAGGCGTGAGCCACCGCGCCCAGCCTAATGTTGAACATCTTTTCATATTTTTTATCATTTGTGTATCTTCTTTGAGGAAATATCTCTTCATATCCTTTGCCCAATTTCAATTGGGTTGTCTTATTGAGTTGTAATAGTTCTTCATATATTCTAAAAACAAGTCCCTAATTAGATATGTTTGTATTACATTTTCCCCCATTTTATGTGCTGTCTTTTCATTTTCTTGATGTCTTATGAAGCATGCAAGTTTTTAATTTTATGAAGTTCAATTTATCTTATATATATATATATATATTTTTTTTTTAAAGGGATGGAGGGTTGTGAGAAGGGCGTTCAGTTGCCTTGTTTTTGTTTTTTGTTGTTGTTGTTCAGACAGAGTCACATTCTACCACCCTGGGTAGAATGCAGTGGCGTCACTGTAGCTGACCTAACCTCCAAGTCCTGGGCCCAAGTGATCCTTTCCTTCTGCCTTAGTCTCCTGGGTTGCTGGGAATACAGGCAGGCACTGCAATGCCGGCTGGGTCTTTTTTCTTTCTTTTTGGTAGAGACGGGTCTCACTCTTGTTCAGGCTAGTCTCAAACTCCTGAGCTCAAGCAATCCTTCCACCTCAGTCTCCCAGAGTACTAGGATTACAGGAACCAGCCACTGCACCTGGCCCAATTTATCCAATTGTCTTTTGTTGTTTTTGCTTTTGGTGTCATATCTAAGAAACAACTGCCTAATACAAGGTCATGAAGAATTAACCCTATGTTTTCTTCTAAGAGTTTTATAGTTTTAATTTTTACATTTAGGACATTTAGGTCATTGATCTACTTTAAGTTAAATTTTGTGTATGGTGTGAAATAGGAAATAACTTCTTTATTTTACATGTGGATAACCAGTTGTCCTGGAACTATTTGTTGAAAAGATGGTTCTTACCCCATCAAATTGTTTTGGCACCCCTGTAACAAATCAATTGATTAAATGTGAGGGTTTATTTCTAGATTTTCAGTTCTATTCCATTGACCTATGTCTGTCCTTATGCCAGGAGCACACTGTCTTTATTACTGTAGATTTGCAGTAAGTTTTGAAATCAGAAAGAGTAAGTTCTCCAATTTCACTCTTTTTCAAGATTATTTTGGTTATTCTGGGTCCCTTGAATTTCCATATGAATTTTAGGTTCAGCTTGTCAATTTCTGTAAAGAAGCCAGCTGAGCTTTTGTGTTAAACTTGTAAATCAATGTGGGGAGTACTGCCATCTTAACGATAACAAGTCTTCCAATCCATGTCTTGGGATGTCTTTCCATTTACAAGGTCTTCTTTAATTTCTTCCAACAATGTTTTGTAGTTGTTGATTTTTTTTGTTAAATTTATTTCTAAGTATTTTATTCTTTTTGATGATAGTATAAATGGAATCATTTTATTATTTCAGATTGTTCATTGCAAGTATACAGAAATAAAATTGAAATTTATTATGTATATTGATCTTGTATCCTGTGACCTTGCTGCATCCATTTATTAGTTCTATTAATAATTGCTTTTTTGTGGATACTATAGAATTTTCTACATCCTTTTTTTTTGAGACAGAGTCTTACTGTATTGCCCTGAGTAGAATGCTGTGGCATCAGCCTAGCTCACAGCAACCTCAAACTCCTAGGCTCAAGAAATCCTCCTGCCTCAGCCTCCCAGAGTGCTAGGATTACAGGTGTGAGCCACCTTGCCCAGCCAGGATTTTCTATATCCTGTCATCTGCAGATGGAAATAGTTTTACTTCCTATGTTCCAATCTGGATGTCTTTTTTATTTTTGAGACAGAGTTTCACTCTGTTGCCCAGGCTAGAGTGCCATGGCATCAGGCTAGCTCACAGCAACCTCAAACTCCTGGGCTCAAGCAATCCTCCTGCCTCAGCCTCCCGAGTAGCTGGGACTAAAGGCATATGCCACCATGCCCGGCTAATTTTTTTTCTATATAGTTTTTAGTTGGCCAATTAATTTGTTTCTATTTATAGTAGAGATGGGGTCTCGCTCTTGCTCAGGCTGGTTTCGAACTCCTGACCTCGAGCAATCTGCCCGCCTCGGCCTCCCAGAGTGCTAGGATTACAGGCATGAGCCACTGCACCGCCCTTCTTTTTGTTTTTTGAAACAGAGTCTCTGTTGCCCTGGGTAGAGTGCAGTGCAGTACCATCATCATAGCTCACTGCAACCTCAAACTCCTGGGCTCCAGCAATCCTCCTGCCTCAGCCTCTCAAGTAGCTGGGACTATAGGTGCATGCCATAACACCCAGGTAATTTTTCTGTTTTTAGTAAGGCAGGGTCTCACTCTTGCTCAAGCTGCTCTCAAACTCCTGAGCTCAAGCAGTCCTCCTGCCTTGGCCTCCCAGAGTGCTAGGATTACAGGCATGAGCCACCATGCCTAGACTAAATGTCTCCATTATCAAGAAAGAAGTCAGCTTGGCAGAAGAATGCGAAAGCTTCTAGAATCAGGTAGACCTATGCATCATCTTACATTGGCTTAAGTTCTCTAAGCCTCTGTTTACTCATTGACAAAACAGAGAAAATAATGCTGACAATATTTGCAAAGAACCTGGCACATAATAGACACCCAGTAAACAGGAACTGCTTTTATTTGTTTTTCAAATTTAGTTTTATAAGGAAACAAGGACCTGATGTTAATCCAGGGATTCTCAATCCTGGCTATATATGTGAATCACCTGGAGAGCTCTGAAAAAGTAAACTGCCTCTGTACCTCAGACAAACCAAATCAGAATCTCTGGGGTTGAGGCCTAGATGTCAACATTTTTAAAAGCTCTCTAGGTAACTGCAATGTGTAGTTGGAAGTGAGAACCACAATAACTAACCAGAAAAGAAGTCCCAATTTGTACCATCTGAAACTAAGTTTTTTTTTTTTTTTTTTTTTTTTTTTGAGACAGAGTCTCACTTTGTTGCCCAGGCTAGAGTGAGTGCCATGGCGTCAGCCTAGCTCACAGCAACCTCAAACTCCTGGGCTTGAGTGATCCTTCTGCCTCAGCCTCCCAAGTAGCTGGGACTACAGGCATGCGCCACCATGCCCGGCTAATTTTTTATGTATATATCAGTTGGCCAATTAATTTCTTTCTATTTATAGTAGAGACGGGGTCTCGCTCTTGCTCAGGCTGGTTTTGAACTCCTGACCTTGAGCAATCCGCCCGCCTCGGCCTCCCAAGAGCTAGGATTACAGGCGTGAGCCACAGCGCCCGGCCTTGAAACTAAGTTTTTTGATTAACATCTACTAGCCCTACAAAACAAACCGATCAGGTCTACCCTCTCAAATCAGAACTACCACTATCTCATGGTGAAATGGAAGCTAAGAGAGTTTGAACAATTTGTTTCTAGGAGAAACAGAGAACCAGGTTTAAAATTCTCACTAAGTCCTAAAGCTAACATCTCTTACTCAGATGTATTTCTATCTACCAGTATTTCCTCAGCATGACTGGCAAATCTAGATGACCTTCTCTTCATTAAACTCTTCTAATGCACTCACCACCTTAGAATCAAGTCCAGACTCTTCAATAGGAACACAACTCTTCAAAACTTGGTCCTGCATGGTACATGATGAGGGTAAGTCAAATATATTATTCAGACTGCATTTGTGCTAGTTTAAATAGCCAAGCCAACAACCCAAGCAGACACTGCTCAGTGTCAGTGGTTAGCTAATGTGCTCAAGAGGGAACAGTGTTAATACTATAGGATGCAACATGGCAAGACTCTTGGCCTTGCTTTTCTTTCTAGCCTTATCTCTCTCTGATCCTCCTTTATTTCCTCATCATCATCCTCTCTCTCACCTTAGCAGCACCTTAAGATATGCTTTTCCCTCTGCATGGAACACTTATTACTTACCCTGCAGACCTCAATGTAAATGTCACCTCCTGGAAGAAGTCCTCCCCAGCCACGACTATCACCACTGCCCTACTCCAGGTTAGATGCTCCTGCTGTGTCCTCCCCTAGTGCCTCAGAGTTCCCCTGTCAGCATTTTCAATGCCACTGAGTGCAGGGACCATGTTGCTCATTAACTCCCAGGGTCTGGCACCTAGGAAATGCTAGAGGTATGTGGAATAAAGAGGAGCCCAGAAGGAACATGGAAAAGCCACTCTAACTGATGTACAACAAAAGGTTATTCTCCTGATTCAGGTCTCACATTTTACCTCCTACAAAGTGAGCTCTATGGGAAATGTTAACAACTGTTGAAACTTGGTGTTAACATATACAATGATCATTCTACTATTCTTCCAATGTTTAAGTTAGAAACTTCCTAATAAACCTTTGGGGGGAAAATTAAGTAACCTCTGCCTCCATTCCTAATCTTACCTTCCTTGCTAAATATTATTTAGCTATAGGATAACTAGCAACAACCTGTCATGATAATTTTCCTACCCTCTGATGGTAGGTGCCATAGGATAATGAATACAAACCTGTTACCAATATAAGAAAGTATTAAAGAAGACTTAAAAGTCAGCTAATAAAAAGTAAGAACATCTGCCAACTACCACATACTAGGTTCCAAGAAAATGCTGGGATTTCATCAATTTCCTCCATTTTTTTAAGAGACAGGATCTCACTATGTTGTCCAGGCTAAACTCAATCCTCCTGACTCAGCCTCCCAAGTAGCTTAGACTACAGGTGCATGTCACAGCACCCAGCTATAATTTTCTTACAATTATAGCCTTTCCTGTAAGTGAGGAGAACTGCTGTTCAGGTCTGAGAAGAGGAAGAAAAAAATGCAGTAAAGGGTGAGCAGCCTACAGAAGAAAGCACGGTGATGATCGATTAAAAGTCAGGGGAGCTGAGTTACATAAATTCAGCTTGCTCTGGTGCTGGTCTAGCAGCCAAAGCACCAAACAGTCAAGCATGCTCAATTCCAGTGGCTACCTAATGTGCGCCAGACAGAGTATTATTAACACAAAAGAAAAAGCCCCTGTTCACAACAGCTATTTCTATAGGACTGTGCAATCATAAACAGTACTCTCTAGAAAAAAATACTGAAGAGGACATTAACTTTTGAAGTTCAATAGATGAAGAACCCCTCGCTTCCTATCCCCTCTGTTCCCTCCTGTACAACATTCCTGAGGCAAAGAACTGTGATGTCAGTGCAGCTGACCTAAGCTCTGACACTTGCCATTACCTCTTGCTGCTTCTCCTCATTGGGGTAGGTGTCTATAAACACTCCCAGCCCCACAAATTTGTCCATGTTTCCAAAGACAGGCCCTAGAGAGAAAGAACAGATGATGAACAATGAAATAAAGCCAAGAGTTGATAAAGGAAATACATATCACTATGATGGAGAAAAAAGTGAAATTCAAATGACTCCCAGGCCACTCTTGAGATGAGGAAACATATGTACTAGTACCCAGCAAAGTGCATGATGGCCTGTAACAAGAGCCCAGTAAATATCTATAGTTATTTGTTGCTGAAGGCAAGGGAAAGAGAGAAGGCCACTGCAACCTTATTTAGCACTACGGTAGCTTCTTGATGCAAACTGGTTGCTAAGACACCCCTACAGAATTCTGCTTCACAAACACTTGGTGAAGACTATGCCCCCAAGAGAGAAATGAATTCCCAACTTCTACTTCCTGTTGCAAAAGAGATCAGGTCAAATCAGGTTGAGGTTGCCATCTATGTGGAGCAACGGTTCCTACACAACAAGGAAAAATAGATAACTCTTCTCTGACTCAGCAGTGCTGAGATCATTCATTGTACATGACCAGAAGAAATCATCAGTGTTCAAGAGAGCCAGTGCTTTCAACCAGCCAACAGGCCAGGTGGTTTCACAGGGAAACTCAGAAAGAATTAAGAAGCAAGGAATCACCCCAGAATGAGTCAAGTTCAGCTGCTTGTTAAGACTCAGACCCCATTCTAGAGACTAGACAGGCCAGTGTTCATCCACAGACATCAAGGGAGAGGGAAAACTGCTAGAGTTGTGGGGAAGAAAGTTTTTCAAAAAGAGGGCACATGAAAAGGCAGGCCTATCACATCCACGCAAGAGCAACCCAGGGTCTCAATACCTGGCTGCATCCGATCCTTTGTGTACCAGATTGCCAAGCCATCCCCATGCAGATTCTTCTTCCCTTGTCCATGGATTTTGAAGTGCACCTGCAACTCCCAGTCTCTAAGGAAACATGGCTAAAATGAGAAAAACATTGGAATCAATGAGGAGTATGAAATACAAAAGACCTTGTCAGCAATCTACAGACTTGAAAAAAACATAAATGCAGGCGACACTACACAATAAGGACTAAAACTAAAATCTAAGATTTGCTAAGTGTTCACATCATAAAATTAAATGGATTGAGCCATTCAACTGTTTAAAAGACTTAATATGAAAAGTGAATAAACCTCCCAATTATCTTCCAACATATCCCAGCAGGACAGTACTCCAATATTGGAAAAGACAAGAGTATGTCAAGCCAGACTCCTGTGATCCTACATCCACCCGGCAAAGTATCTCAGCCTATAGAATACAAATGGCTCAATTAATACTCATTTGCAACTTAGGATCACCCCTCAGATAGAAAGAGTCTAAAAAGCTTGGATTTAAAGAAAGGTCAAAGTCTCATTCATTATAACAGATTAAGAAAAGCCAAGTCATTATGCAAAGGTTTCTATGAATAATTGCAGATACTATAAACAGCGCTGATTAGCTAGACTGGGCCCTCTGCCAAGCTGAGGGGCAAGCCAAAATTCCCACAAGAAGGGCAGGTTACAGTCCCCCAAACCCTCATGCCCATGGCCAAGAAGCATCAGTGCACCAGAGGAGACCACCACCTCTACCACAGAACAGCATCTGGCAGGAAAACATTAAGGACATGGGTACTAATGAGACTCCTGTTTATCTTTTTTGAATTGTGTGTCAAACCCTTGTAAAAATGGAGGAAAGTGGATGGTTAGGTGCTCTAAGTAGCTGAGCAGTTTCAAGAAGAAATTAGAGTGGGTATTTAGGTTTAGAAAGGTTTCTGGTTAAAAGTCCACTGTGAAGAAAGAAGGGAAGTAGGAGCAGATAGACCAGTTAAGTTCAGCCAAAGGCTCTCCAAATAGATTGTTCTGGCTCTTGAGCAACATATTGCTAGATCATTTTCAGTTTTCACTTTTAATTTCTGGGATATTTTCCAAAAGTGTTAGTATTATGAGTACATAGTCAAAATGAAAGAAGATTGGGTACTTCTGCATTCACCAAGCAGCTCTGAAATCTCCAATTGCTTTCCCTACTGTGATAAATCCAGTTCCTGTCTTGTTACTTTTCTCTCTCACATCCCGATAATCGGGAGGTTTATTCACTTTTATCTCACTCTGTTGTTTCATTTAGATTTCAAGACAAGAGTGAAATTTAGTGGCAGAAAGCTGCCCTATGGCCAGTAGGCAGGTATCATGTCCCTGGGAAGAGGACAGGGCCAGAGAAGCTCACACTAAGCCAAGAGGTGTCTGCCACTGATTCTTGGCCTCTTGTAGCAAGCACTATGCTAGACAGTTTTACTTAAGGCTATGCTGAACAGTGGTTCTGAAACTTTGCTGCACATTAGATTCACCTAGGGAGCTTCTTAAAATCCCTACACCCTTTTTCAACTAAATCAGAATCCCTGGGGTGGGACTCAGGCATCTACTCCAATGGATAGCCACATTTGAGAACCACTGATCAAAGAAATGCATCTTATTCAAATAACTCAGAAACAAGTCCATGGCTCATTCTGATAGCCAGATAACAGAGAATACAGGTATCAGAGAATCTGAAAAAGGGGAAAACCAGATGCTAGACTAGAATTGCTGCTAAAAGAGTTACACAGAGACAGAAAGCAAGACAGCAGCAAAGTATGAAGCCTTGAGCATAATCATTTAGTAACCTATAAAAGCCCCCCAAAATGAAAATTATAACAAGTGTAATAACATAACAACCCCTATTTCTGTTAACCATTTCAACTTTCCACAGCCTTTTCATGTCTATTGTCTCATTTTTTCTCACAACACCCCTAGTGGACAGGTAAAACAGGTATTATGAAGCTCATTTGACAAATGGAGAAACTAAAAACTAAGAGGTTAAATAACCTGCGTGGGGCTCACAGTGGGACAGTGACAAAGCTGGATCTAGAACCCAAGTCTTTCAGCTGCCCTTTAACGCTTCTATCTGAACAAAATGTTCTGCACTTTGTCCAAAAGCGAGCTCAGCACTACAATCTGGGTTAAGGGGCCAGCTTGTGCAGATAGCTCACGTAGAAACGTCTCTTACCCCTGTGCTCCTTTAGAATTCTCTGACACAGAAAATGAACTAGGAAAAGAAGTAGTTCTCTTTTCTGAGGTTCACTTATCAACAACTAATGAGAAATATCATGTAAAAGTAAGTTCTTAGCCTATGAGAGCCCAAAAGAAAGTATCAAAGGATGTCAAGATCATCCCCAAAAGTGGTCATAAAAGATTCAGAAAGAGCCCTGGAAACCGAAAAGAAAGCATCATCTTACACTTGTACAAAATCACAGTGCAGCCACACCAGGAATACTGCATTCACTTCTTGCCGCCATACCTCAAGGAAGACAATGTAGCTAGAAAAGGTCCAGAGAAGGACAAATAAAATGACCAACGGCTCAGAGTGGCTTTCGCATGAAAATAAAATTTTAAATTAGACTCTTAAAACTGAAATAATAATGGGAGGATACTGCAATGAAGTTTGGGATAAATTTCACAGTAGTCTCCTACTTTGTGAAGCAAAGTATTAAACAGAGCTATTAAACCTCAAGAAGTAGTACTGTTAGGTCAATCAGGAATTAAAGTCTTTTCAGAAAACAGATTCAAAATGAATTATTTCCTATAATTAGGGCAATGGAGAGCATTTCCCTAACTTATCTGATTTATTATGAAGGTCACCATAATCTTGGAAATAAAGATTGATATCCACAGAAGACAGAATACTGGGGACAGACACTAAAATTAAATAAATATGCCATTGCTGAACTTTTTAGGACTTTTCAGGTCACCAACACAGGAAGGAGAAAGATTCTTACCACCCGATTCCACAAGGCACCCTGTTTACTTTGCATATCCGGGGTAAGGCGGATATACTGGGTCATCACCATAGCATTGCCCATCAAATTCCACAGTGAGGAACCGCCTGTGCCCACACCTACAGGGAAGAAGCAGATCAGTTCATACTCTTCAACACCAACCAGTTCAGAAAGCACCACAGAGCCTCTGAAAGCTAGAGCCATCATCTTTTTTTCCCTTTCACATCACTCATCTTCTGTCACTCACACATCTTAAATCCTTACCATTTTTACAGCTTTCTTCACAAGACCTCCAAAACACATCAGAGCTATCACTTTATGCACTTTATGCACACCCCAGTAACCACAGCTCAGATCCATACCTCCCATTTTATATGTGAGTAAACTTTAATATCATGAAAGAAAAAAAACTTCCCCAGTTATAGCAAAAAGAGTTTGCCCCTCAGGCTTCTGGGGCCTAATCACATTCTTTCTTTAAACAGTCCTTCAAGTGTGAAGCTACTTCTTTCTCCCTGTCCCTTCAGACTATAAATTCCTAGCAAATGAAAATTGTGTGTCTGTATAACATATCGTGAGTATGTATAACCTAGCAAAGAGACCAGCACACAGGAGGCACTCCATGCATCTGCTAAGTGAATAAAAGATTATCCTTATTAGCAGTGTATTATAGCTCTTGCACTTTGCATTGTTTACTGTTCCCCTATCTATGCCTCAGTGGGAAAAAAGACCGCGTTAGTTAAGTCATTTACACTGATTTGTACTCTTTGTAGCTAACTGTATCGATTTTCGGGCCATAAGCTGTGTTTAGGGGTCTATGGACCTTAATAAAGCAAAACTAACCAACATCTTTCATTATCAATAGGGCTCCTAGACTGGAGAAGAGCAGATATTCTACCTAGCAACAGAATTTTATCTTTCTCACTCTGGCCAAGCTCTACCCCAGTTCTTCCTCTTGCTTTATCTCTAGTACATCCACAGGTCCGTCGGGAGACTGGACCATTGCTAGTGGCACTCAATCACTCCTCACCATTCTCAGTTCTCTCCCCTTTCCACACTTCTGTCCAAGTCCCAGCTACCCAGTTCATCGGAGCCTACCGCTAGTGCCACACAAGAGCCCAGCCTCTAGCTGCTGGGGGAGGGGAGCGAGGGAGAGCTCACCCCTGCCCTTCGGACCTGTGGCTTGCAAACGCAGAGGGAGTCCCGTGGGCCGTCACCTATCACCATCAGTTTCCTCGGGGCCACGAAACCTTTCGCCGCCCCAGTCTCTACCGAAAAGCTCAGGTCCCGAATCCCTTCCCCTGCACGACCACCTCGTCCCGGACGCCTCACCCTGGTAGGGCTTCGACAGCGAGTGCTCCCTTTTCAAGTACTCGAACGTTTGACCCGCCCCGACTTGCTGTGGCCCCTGCCCAGACCCCAACAAAAGAAGAAGGAGCAACATCCTGGACCAATCCCGAGCCGACAAACGTCGCCGCCACCGCTGCCACCACCCAGAGGGTCCCAGAACCGCCGCCATCTTTCCCACTCCTGTCCCTTCATCAAAAGCCCGCCCCGTCGCCCAACCCATTGGCTCGTAGAACCACCTGCTCCACAATCCATTGGCTCTCGGCAAGTCCCCGCCCTGCTGGTGAGCCTATCACCGATGGGCTGGCTTGGGTATCAGTTGCCTTGCCAACCCAGATAAGGGGCGTGGCCGAGTGCCCAGACTCCTTTATTTGCATTTGTCCTGTGCGCCCTGTGCCTGCTGGGATATGTAGTCATTTCCATTTTGTTTCTGCGTTCTAGAGGAAATTTAAAGAGATAAAACGATTCCTCTGGCCCAAGCAAACATTCTATCCTCTGCCATAGTACCCGTCTGACTGAAAAGATAAATATACAAATCCACAAAGTATTAATAGTTGGAAAATTATCAAATTTATAAAAGACTTGAACAGCACTATAATCAACTTGACCTGATGACATTTGTAGAAACTCCACCCAACAACAGTGGAAGACACATTCTCTTCAAGTGCAAGTTTGCCAAGAGATTCTGGGCCATAAAGTAAAACACAAATGTAAAAGAATTGAAAGCATGCAAATTAATTCTCAAAACTATCACTTTTCATTTCTCCCTTCATCTTTCTCTCGAACCACGTGTATCAGGACTGGTCTTCTAGCCACCATCCTCCCTGTGGCACCAAAGTGATTTAAGCCATCTAACCATATTTAATGTCAGGATTAAATGAGTCAATATTGGTTAACCTCTTAGAATTGTGCCTGGCATGTAGTAAGCACTGTTACATCATAATCATTATAATTGATGTGGCCTTTGATGGCTCCTCATCACCTGTGGGGAGGAGATTCAAGCCCCTCAATTTGGCACACAAAGTCCTCTCCCATCTGGCCCTAGCCTTATCGCCCACAGATCCCTTCCTCCATCAATATGTTCTGGCTGCCTCTCTTCCCTCTTCTTATCGGTAGCCCGCTTTCTTTTGGAGGCCTTCCCCAGCTCCCTCAGACCAGGGCAGATGCCCCTCTCTGAGCTTTCAGAATGCTCCATCCACATATCTTACAGAGTACTTGCCAGATCTGTGTGTGTGTCTGCCCAATAGACTTAACCAAAGTTAACTCTCTCTTCCCTGACCATAAACATATCCAATGAGAGAAACATGAATATAAGCCTGCTTTACAGGGGATCAATTTTTAATATTAAATCTGTCACAGCGTTGATCTTTTACACCCTCCACACAAAACAGATGTATGCTGATAAGACATTAGGAACTGCAGTGAGGCCAAGCGCAGTGCCTCACGCCTGTAATCCTAGCACTCTGGGAGGCCAAGGCAGGAGGTTCGCTTGAGGTTAGGAGTTTGAGACCAGCCTGAGCAAGAGCAAGACCATATCTCTACTAAAAACAGAAAAATTAGCTGGGCATGGTGGCACCCATCTGTACTTCCAGCTAAAGAAGAGTCTGAAGCAGGAGAATTGCTTGAGCTCAGGAACTTGAGGTGACAAGGAGCTATGATGATGCCACTGCATTCTACCCGGTGTGAAAGAGTGAGACTCTGTCTCAAAAAAAAACAAAAATCCTGCAGTGAATTTATTCATGGCTCTCAATAACTGTAGGATAAAATCCAAACTCCTTAGTGTAGCATTCAAGGCCCTTTGCAACCTGACTCAAATCAAGCTGTACACATGCCTATGATGATGTGTGTCACCAGGAATTATGTAGTTCAATTAATAGAGGGTTTGTCTCCCCAGCAAGGCAGGGAGCTCTAGGGCCACAGGAAGTAGGTCTTACTCATTTCCTACCCCAGGCTCCATCTACTTCCCCACCACCAACCCATTACCCAGCACATAGTAAGGGTTCTAATTGTTTTGAATAATGCTATTTCCATTGTACTTCTCTATCAGCTGGATTGTTTTATTGTGGCAAAATACATATAAAATAAAATTTACCATGTTAACCATTTTTCAGTACAGATGTTCCTCAACTTACCATAGGTTTATCTCCTGATAAACCAACCCCATTGTAAAGTGGGAAAATCATAAGTCAAACTATCATAAATTTGGGCCATCTGTATACCGTTCAGAGGCATTAAGTACATTCACAGTGTTGTGTGACCTGTCAGCTGGATTTCTGATAAGTAGCATCAGCAAATCTCTTGTTGTAAAATTCTCTATGATGAAGAAGAGGGAAATAAAGGAGAAGGGTGTGAAAGGCAAGATGCACTGGACAATAAATGAGATCATTTTGTTCAGACTGTTGCAATAGGTAAGATGCTCATTAATAAGAGATGTATCAGAGAAAAAGAAGGAGATCTGGAGTTTTAGAGAGGCAGGTAAGCAAGGGAATCATCATGAGGAAGGATGGAAAGGGTCTTATCTGAGGCCCTGAGGATGGGTGAAAGTAGGTCTTATCTTAGAATATTGTAGAGGAGAGCAGTTCCTATAGATTAGCCATTTCCTAGAACACAAAAGGAAGATTTTTTTTTTTTGAGACAATCTCACTCTGTTGCCCTAGCTAGGATGCAGTGGCATCATCATAGCTCACTGCAACCCCTCCAACTCCTGGGCTTAATCGATCCTCCTGCCTTAGCCTCCTGAGTAGCTGAGACTATAGGCACAGGCCACCATGCCTGGGTACTTTTTCTATTTTCAGTAGAAATGAGGTCTCAGTCTTCCTCAGGCTGGTCTTGAACTCCTGTGCTCAAGCAATACTCCCACCTCAGCTCCCTAGAGTGCTAGGATTACAGGCATGAGCCACCATGCCTGGCTGAGGAGTTCTTTATCGTAGCTGCTTTCCAGGAGCACAGAGTGTAGCTAATTCAACACTGTCAAGTTTTTGAGGGGTGGTGGAGGGAAAGAGAACAAGGAGTCAGGCCCCTACAATACTGACCTACTCACACACAGAGGCGCTTTGTGAAAACTGGGTCAGGTCTTGACCTACCATCCTTTCAACTAGCTGGTAGTCCCCTTTTTCTCCATGGAATCATCTCCTGTGATCTAGGACTACATAAATACAATGTAAGTTGTGCTTTCTAGAAGTTCCAGGTTATTTTTCCACTTTCCTGTCTTCAAAGCCAAACAAGGTCGGGCATGGTGGTTTATGCCTGTAATGCTAACCTACTGGGAGGCTGAGACAGGAGGATCACTTGAGCTAAGGAGTTTGAGACTGCAGTGAGGTATGATGATGCCACTGTACTCTACCTGAGACAACAGAGCAGGACTCTGTCTCAAAAAAAAAAAAAAAAAGAAAAAAAGAAAAGAAAAGAAAAATAAATAGAAAAAAAGCCAAACAGGTACCTCTGCTCAGTAGCACCTTCAAGCCAGATATCCCTCAACCCATGACAGAGGCTCCAAGGCAGCCTCTTAAGCCATCCTTTCTTCTCCCTCCTGTCCTTCACTTATAAACCTCACTGTTCCATTCAGATTTACACCTACCTCTAGACCAAAAGCAGGGCCTAAGATCAGCCCTTCTCAGGCCAGGTATGACCATACATCCCTCCTCAGAGATCCAATGGGGCCTTAGGGTTAGGTCCATCTTCAGCCCCGTAGTCACAGCTGACTGATCCTACCACTCTGTACTTCTAGTTCTCCAAGCAGACTCTGGAGTGTAGAAGAGGACAGCAGCTCTAACACTAAGTAGCCAGCTACTTCCTCGTGGTGACTTCTTAATACTGGCCTCCCAACAAATATTCTGGGATACCTTTGAAATACACAGGTGCCTAGGCTCCATCCCCAGACTCTTGAGTCAATAGGTTTGGCGTAAGGTTTGGGGATTTGGTTTTGAAAATCCCTCCTGGAGAATTTAATATACAGCCCAATTTTCAGAACTACCGCCCTTTCATGTCCCGTATCTCATTTCAACCTCACAATGACTTGGTGTGATGGGCTTTAAGATTGGGACATTTGTTCTCAGTTCATAGAGTACATTCCAAACAGGCTCCAGCACCTACTTGAATTTAGAGATAAGATTTAGAGATTTGCTTTAATACACTCCGGGGGGGAAATTGTGTGTGTGTGTGTGTGTGCATTTGTGTGTGTGGAGGGAAGATAGGATAGATGACAAAAGAGAACAAACCCAGCAGGATGTTGATAACTGTTGAACTGTTGGAGCTGAGTTATGGGTACGAGGCACTCTGTCTAGCTTTATGTATGTGTGAGAGTTTCCATAATAAAAGGCTTTTAAAACTCTCCCCTGGAGATGATTAGGAAATATGCTGGGTATGCATTTGTGGTTGTTTTTTAAATTTCCCCAAGGGAATGAAAACTGTAATTAACTATAATCTAGTAAAGTTCATTGTGACCCATCCAATATAATGTTGTCATAACTAAAGAGAAGAGTCTGCAATCTAGAGAAAGAACAGTAAAGGGATGAAAATATGTCAGAGTTGTGTCAGTTCTGTCCAGGGGAGAAAGTATTTTTAAGTATCCTTGTTGAGTCTCCTTTGAACTTTATTCAAATCAACCTTATTCTCCTAGCATACTTATAAGGCTTTCCAGGCTAACATTCTAGTCCTCTTAGCAATCTAATTTCTCAGTATAAATTTAAAAATGTATGTACTGGCATTTATCATGTAGTTACCTGTTAGTTTAGTCAGGGTGACTTATCCTCCCCAATCTATTTATCCATCAGTGAATTGATAAAACCAATATCCAGCTGGGCACGGTGGCTCACGCATATAATCCTAGCACTCTGGGAGGCCAAGGCGGGCAGATCGTTTGAGTTCAGGGGTTCAAGGCCAGCCTGAGCAAGAGTGAGACCACGTCTCTACTAAAAATAGAAAGAAAATGAGCCGGACAACTAAAAAAAAAAAATATATTAGCCAGGCATGGTGGTGCATGCCTGTTGTCCCAGCTACTTGGGAGGCTGAGGCAGAAGGATTTCTTGAGCCCAGGAGATTGAGGTTGCTGTGAGCTAGGCTGACGCCATGGCACTCTAGCCAGGGCAACACAGTGAGACTCTGTCTCAAAAAAAAAAAACACAAAAAAACAATAACAACAACCAATATCCCAAGGACCAAATCTGAGATCTGCAGTGATGGCTCAGTGAAACAGCAGAACTCCCACGGA